GGGCAGTGTTTTGTTCCATTGTGTATGGAGTCATTATGAGTCAGGGACCAACTCAACAGCAACTAAAAACAATAACAATAGCAGTAAATGAGATAAGCATGCATTTAACTAGCTAAAGTCTTATATGTTAAAAATAAATAAAATAAAGGAAACTATGATTTACCTAAGCTTTAAAAATCTACCAAATTTACAAAAATCAGCATATTCTAATGAGTCTAATAGGGTATGTGTGGTATAGTAAATTACTTAGTGTGGCTTTTCTACCCATAAGTCTTTCTAAACTCCAAGGTGGGAATTGCTATTAGCAACTGAGGAGATACTGATTGCTAAAGTCACCCACCTGGAGTATTTCTGTTGGGAGTGAAACAAAACAATATTCTGGGAGGTTCCCACTCTCTCTCAGGTGGTTAGAGTTCTGATGCTATGATTGGCTAGTTTGGCCACTCTGCCAGGCTCAAAAGGAGGCCTCCTAGAAGCAGAACTCTCTCTCTCTCTCTGACTGCTGGTTGAGGAAGACATTCTGCTGAAAGAGACATACGCCCCTGAAAGAGACACGTGCTGCTGGGAAAGAGACACAAGAGACATACATTGCTGAGTGAGACACTGAGGGACCAGCACTGCTGGGAAAGAGATTGTGAGAGATTGTTGGGTGAGGGACGGAGGGCTGGGAGAGAGGCTGAGCATTTTTCCTGAACTTGAATTGTAGCCTGTGGTGCTTCCCTAATAAACCCCATAATCTGTGAGCTCTGTGTGGCCACTGCAGTGAATTATCGAACCCAGGAGAGAGTTGGTGGGTGCTTTGGGAGGAACAGGTGGAGAAAGGGCTGGAGGGAGGCAGCATGTTTGGCCTGGCAGGAATAGGTCTTGGGGGGTTACTGCTGGTAATCCTGTCTTCCTCTTGTGAGATTAGAGGAGGTCAGAACATGTGGTCTCCTTGTCCTTTTTGCAGTATGTTAGGGTGTGAGATGGGACATTTAGGAAAAAGTAAATAGATAAATTTCAATTCGCTTCACTGGAGCAAATATTTTCCACACAGTAACTTTGAAGTTGGGTAGTACAGTGTTCTTGTTAAATGTATTTTATGGGGATTTAGATTTAGGTAAAAACTGCCCCAATAAATGATTTACCAACTCTAATAAAACATCAAGGAAATTGTTCAGATTGTATCTCAGATCATTTGAAACAGAAGTCTCAGAAACCCCCATATCCTCAAGCTTGGTTTGAAAAAAGATATTTATAGTGGTCAATTATCCCATGTTACTTTTTTTTATGGTGGCAATTTCAAGAAAAGGAAGAGATTTGAAGTAAATAAATAGGTATGAGAACCAAGAGAGCTGGGGAAGAGTCAGAGAGAAGCCAAATGATCACTCATTTATACATTTATTTTCTCAGCAATTAAGTATTTACTGGTCGCTTTTTATCTATGCAATGCATTAGAGCTAAGGTTTGCAGACTCAGAAGTGAATAGATAAGTGGAGTTCCTGCCTGCATACAGCTTCCATTTAGCAAAAGGAGATATAATTGAAGAAATGAATAAAATAAATAAACAAGATCACTTTAAACTGTGATAAGGACCCTAAAGAAAAGAATCAAGATAATGATAAAGTAAATAATCAGAGTAAGGACGGGTATCACTGTAAGTAGAACAGGGAAAGGCATCTTTGGGGAGTTAAAAATGATTCTGAGGCTTAAAATATATACAACCAAACATATAACAGAACTGGGAGAACATTCTAGAAAAAATGAGGTATTCAGCTTGACACGTTTGAAGAAAGAAAGGAAGACAGGTATGAAAGATCTTCTCTATTTTTAAATTTGAAAGAGGTATTTTCCTTAAATTATAATTATTAATATTTTTAATAACAACTATTAATTTTATATCAATATTAATATTATTTTTATTAACTTTACTTATATTGTTGATATAATTGTGCATAATACTAATATTAGTAAAAAAATTAAGTTGTTGATATTAATTATTTTACTGTTTATTATTGATTGCTACATTTATCTTAACATTAATACTAATTTTATTAATATTTAAATGATTACTGTATCATTACCAATAATAGTTGCTTTATGAAGAATCTATACATTCCAGTCACTGTACAGGATGCCTTATGTATTTTATCTCTCTCAAGTTTTATAATAATCTTATAATCCCACAACACAAGTACGATTATTCTAGCTTGACACAGGAAAAAGCAGTGTCAGACAGTTTAAACAAATTGCTTAAGGTCACACAGCTAATCAGTTGCACAGCCAGAATTCATATTAAGGTCAGTGGTTTGAATCTACCAGCTACCCCCTGGGAGAAAAGACCTGAGGATCTGCTCCCATAAAGATTACAGCCCAGGAAATTCTATGGAGCAGTTCTACTCTGTTCTAAAGAGTCACTAAGTCAGAATGGACACAGCAGCATACAACAGCATGTTCAAAGCTGTGCACACACAGATGAATGAAGCAAAATATGATCAACTATCTTTCCAAATATAGTCACAAAATATTTTTTACCTCAACATATTCTTGTCCAATTTGTACTTGCCACATCCCCACCATAGGAGACCATATTTCCCTCCTCCCCTTTGATCTGGGCTGGCCTGTGACATTTTCACCAATAAAATATGTTTGAAGTCACTGTGTAACTTCAGGGCTTGGTCTTAAGAAATCTGCAGGTTCTACCCTCTCTGCTTGCAAAGATGTTACTTGGAGCATAGTCACCAGGCAGTGAAGAAGCCTAAGCACTGGCAGAGAAAAGCCCATCTGGAAAAGTGAAGACTTGAGTTGAGAACAAGAACCAGGACCCCAGGCATATGGTCCCAGTTGAGACATATCAGCTAGACCCCAGCAACTTGAACCATTGCAGCTGAAGCTCCAAGCAGGCTAGAGATAAGCCTTCTATGATATGCCCTGCCTGAATTCTCAACCCACAAAACTATGAACAAATAAATCTTTGTTGTTTTAAGCTACTAAGTTTTCAGTGATTTGGCATGCAGCAATAGATAACCAAAACATATAACTGGTGAGGAAGACAAGCATTTGTTGTTGTTGTTATCTGCCATCGAGTCGGACCCAACTCATAGCGACCCCTCCTTGGGTTTCTGAGGCAGTACCACTATGGAAGTAGATTGCCCCATCTTCCTTCAGAGGAGTGACTATTGGGTTTGAACCGCCAGCCTTCTGGTTAGCAGTCAAGTGCCTTTGGCACTATGCTACCAGAGCTCCCGAAGACAAGGATGTATATATATATATATATGTTGTTGTTGTTGTTATGTGCTGTCGAGTCAGACCCGACTCATAGCAACCCCTCCTTGGGTTTCTGAGGCATTATCACTACGGAAGTAGATTGCCCCATCTTCCTTCAGAGGAGTGACTGGTGGGTTTGAACCGCCAGCCTTCTGGTTAGCAGTCAAGTGCCTTTGGCACTGTGCTACCAGAGCTCCCGAAGACAAGGAGACATATATATGTTGTTGTTGTTGTTATGTGCTGTTGACTCAGACCTGACTCATAGCGACCCCTCCTTGGGTTTCTGAGGCATTGTCACTATGGAAGTAGATTGCCCCATCCTCCTTCCGAGGAGTGACTGGTGGGTTTGAACCGCCAGCCTTCTGGTTAGCAGTCAAGTGCCTTTGGCACTATGCTACCAGAGCTCCCGAAGACAAGGAGATATATATATATATATATATATATATATATATATTTGTTGTTGTTGTTGTTGTTGTTTATATATATAAATTTTTAACTGAGTACCATAAGATCAGAACAGAGGAACATCTAACTTGAGGTGGAGCAGAAGAGAGCACACTTAAGAGTCAGATAGCCAGTATTTTGAATTCTGTGAGATACACTGTCTGTCCTAACTACTTAATTCTACCATTTAGGGCAAATCAGCCATGACAACACACAACCAAATGGGTGAAACTGAGTTTCAATAAAATTTTATTGATGAAACAAGCAGGACTCAGGATTTGGCCCAGGAGCTGTAGTTGTCCAATACCTGTTGTAGAACTACAGCATCAGCAAAAGCCTACTGAAGGAGTAATTCCTGAGAATAACTTTTTAATGGATCAATAAGAAACTGAAGTTCTGAGAGTCTTTGAAATCTTCAGTCCTTTTAACTCTATGTTTAAAATAATAATGACATTGTAAAATTGCATACATTGAACTCTATAAGGTCATTCTTATAGGCCATCAGAGAGGTGAGTGTTCCAAGAAATCCTGGAGAGGCAACAGGGGCAGATGGATGAGCTCAAAATTTGAGATTAATTAAGCTTGTTCTCCAGTCCATATGACCCTCAAGTAAGAATCAAAACAGTCCAGCAGAAGTTCAAGCTCTCTCATCTGCATTGTATTCTAAGATATGCTCCTTAGAAGCCAGGATGGAGAGAATTCGTCTCTCATACTTTGATCATCTTATCAAGGGGGATCATTCTTTGGAGAAGAATATCATGCTTGATCTTAAGAAATCTGATTTCTTAAGAAGTCAGCGAAAAAGGTAAAGATCTTCAATGTGATGGATAGACACAGTGGCTGCAACAATGAGCTCAAGCATAGCAACAATTGTGAAGATGGTGCAGTATGAGACAGAATTTCATTCTGTTGTACATAGGGTCACTGTGTGTTAGAACCAATTCAACGGTATCTGACAACAAAAACAACAACCTCTATCCTGGCAGTATTTTACTGATTTTTTTTTTTCTCTTTTAACTTTTCATTTGTTGTTGTTGTTGTTGTTGTTGACCTCTCCTTGGGTTTCCAAGGCAGTATCACTACGAAAGTAGATTGCTTCATCTTCCTCCCAATGAGTGGCTGGTGGGTTTGAACTGCCGGCCTTCTGGTTAGCAGTCAAGTGCCTTAGGCACTATGCTACCAGAGCTCCCAACTTTTCATTTATTAAATTTAATACACACATGTTACTTTTCCCCTAAATTAATTCTTATGGTTGAATGAATTCAATCAAATAAAATTTGAAAGTAAAAAGACAGGATATAGTCACTCACCAAACTGAAAATTTGTGTTTCTCCAAGTCCTCCAAGTAAGACATGTCCTGTGAATAACCTTCAATTCCTTCAGTTCTCCCAGAAGTTGATCTTTCCCTCAGGGAATGATCAGTCAGTTTATCTCCCTTGACAATGAAATTAAATAAATTAAAAATAAAGTAATATTAATACCAGACACTAAGTTAATATTGCTTTAGTGACCTCTTCCCAAAAAATAACTTATACAATCATTGACAATAGAGATGCATACATAGGCATAAAATTGATTTTTTTCAGTGACATTATTGTTTAACATTCTAGATTAACTTACTGAATTTTCATTTCCACAACTGCAGAAATTGTGTTTTATTCACTCTTGTATCTTTTCACACGAAACTGTTTTTAACAATGTCAGTGGAGTAGAAAAATAAATATAACCTTGGTTGTGGTGGAAGCTCTGGTGTTATAGTGCCTAAGGCATTTGACTCCCCTGCCCCCTTTTTTTTTTAATTGTGATTCTGTGAAAGTTTACAGAGCAAATTCACTTTCCATACAGCAGTTCACACACATGTTGTTTCATGACATTGACTACAATTTACCCCAGTGAAACAGCTCCCCTCCGACTTCTTCCCAATACTTACCTTTCCCAGTGTTCATCCACCATGCAATCCTATCCCCTGAGCTGTCTCCCTGTGCGTAAACAGCCCTTCTTTCTCCCATGATTGTTCTCTCCAGGAAGTGTATATACTTCAGCTAAATGTTTAACTCATATTCCTATCTTTTGTTTGGCTGGAAGCCACAGGTGTAGGTTCAATTCGAGACCTGAAGGGCAGCTAGGGGCCATAGTCTCAGTGGTTCCACCAGGCTCTATCAGACCAGAAAACCTGGTCCCCATTTTTTTTTCCCAAATAATTTTGAGTTTTGTTCCACATTGTTCTCCCTCTCTATCCAGGATATCCTACATAGATCCCCCTCCAAGAGGTTGACAGTGGACACCTAGCTGGACACCATCTAGTTCTTCTGGTCTCATAGTTGTATAGGCTGCGGATTGCATAGTGAACCAGTTGCTTGAACTAACGTTTCCATTAATCTTTAGTTTTCTTCATTCTTCTTTGCTCTGGATGAGGAAAGCCCCATCATTGCATCTAGATGGCTGCTTGCAAGCTTTTAAGATCCCAGGCACTACTCACCAAAGTGGGAGGCAGAACAATGTCTTGTGTAATGTTGTTGTTTTTGTTTGTTGTTAAATGCCATCGAGTTGTTTCCAACTCATAGCAACCCCAAGCACAGCAGAATGAAACACTGCCCGATCCTGCGCCAACCCCACAATCCCTGCTATACTTGAGCCCATC